TCGCTTGAGCCCAGGAGTTGGAGGTTGCTGTGAGCTGTAATGCCACGGCACTCTACCCAGGGGGACAGCTTGAGGCTCTGTCTCAAAAAAAAAAAAAAGCCCATCACATCCTTTCAGCTTCTCCCACTCTCTGGGTAAGATATCTCTATCTCTATCAATATCGATATAGATACATGAAATTTTGGCAGTGCCTGTAGCACCCTACCCACTGGGGCCGGCCACATATACCCAGGCTGGCAGGTTCAAATCTGGCCAGGGCCAACTAAACAACAATGACAACTGCAACAACAAAAAAAATAGCTGGGAGTTGTGGTGGGCACCTGTAGTCCCAGCTACTGGGGACGCTGAGGCAAGAGAATCTCTTAAGCCAAAGAGTTGGAGGTTTCTCTGAGCTGTGACGCCATGGCACTCTACCAAGGGTGACATAGTGAGACTCTGTCTCAAAAATAAATTAATTAATTGAATAAAATAAAATAAATATTTTTTTTTAGACAGAGGCTCAGTATGTTGCCCTAGGTGGAGTGCTATGGCATCACAGCTCACAGCAACCTCAAACTCTTGGGCTGAAGTGATTCTCTTGCCTCAGCCTCCTGAGTAGCTGGGACTATAGGTGCCCGCCACAATGCCCAACTATTTTTTGTTGTTGTTTGCAGTTGTCATTGTTGTTTAGTAGGCCGGTTCAAACCCGCCAGCCCCGTATATGTGGCCTGTGCCCCAGCCACTGAACTACAGGCACCGAGCCAAAATGTCTATCATATTAAAAATGCTTTTCTGCCTGTAGACCCAGCTACTTGGGAGGCTGAGGCAGGAGAATCGCCTAGGCACTCTACCTAGGGCGATAAAGTGAGACTCTGTCTCAAAAATAAATAAATAAAAATGCTTTTCTTGGGCTGGGGTAGTGGCTCACACCTGTAATCCTAGCACTCTGGGAGGCCTAGACAGGTAGTTTGCTTGAAGCTCACAGGTTCTAGACCAGCCTGAGGAAGAGTGAGACCCTGTCGGGCGTTGTGACGGGCGCCTATAGTCCCAGCTACACGGGAGGCTGAAACAAGTGACTCAGCCCAAGAGTTTGAGGATGCTGTGAGCTGTGACCCCTCAGCTCTACCAAGGGCACTCTACTCAGGGCAACAAGTGAGACTCTGTCTCTTTTTATTTCCTCCCAAGTAGCTGAGACTAGTGCCTGCCACAATGCCCAGCTATTTTTTTGTTGTTGTTGCAGTTGTCATTGTTGTTTTGGCAGACCCTGGCCGGGTTCGAACCCGCCAGTCCCAGTGTATGTGGATGCCGAGCTACAGACGTCAAGCCGAGACTGTCTCAAAAAAAAAAATTCTTTTCTTCGCTGTCAATCTTTTCTCAATAATTGGATCTTTGTGCAACGAGCAACTGAATCTAGACAGAACTCCTGCAGTTCTGACTGCACAGTTCAACATAGTGAATGGTACTGCAAAGGCCATCGCTGGCCCTTGAAAGATGGAACTATGTTTCGTCAAGCTATATCTAGATTATTCTCACTTAGTTTTTGCTAAGACCTAAATGGCCGTATGTAATTTCTATTTTACAAATGAGAACACTAAGGCTCAGAGAAGCGATTCGCCCAACGTGGAGTCAGGTTCAAATCTAGTTACTGTTTAACTCTACCCTCTAGACTATATACCATCTCTCTAAAAATCCTATTCAGTTCAAATGCGAGAAGCAGTCCCCTCAGCTGAAAAACTGAATAAACCGCAATCGCGGATGGAACAAGTTCACTGTCGCCGGCTGCGTGTTGGTTTCTTGCGTCATCATGCTGCGCGGCTGCCTCTCGCACGCCACGCGAGAGGACGGGATCTCCGCGCGGGGGGCGTGCCCTGGCTGTACATGGCGCAAGATGGCGCTGCCCATTGCTTGTTCTTTGCTCTTGTGCCGTTGGGGTGCTAAACGATTGGGGATTGCCGCTGCAGAGGCTCGGAGAGGTAGGGTTATCTTTTTTAAATTCTCTTTTACCTCCAAAATGGTTTCTGTTATTCCTGGAGCCCTCACCGAGTAACAACTCCGAACCTCTCGGGTCGTTTTCCCTTTCTCCGTCTGCGCTGGTCTCGACATTACAAATCTGGGGCACCATCTAATTTCTTGAAATCCCGGGGTTTTCCCAATACGAGTTTTTCACTTCTTAGGACTGCCTATACTACAGAGACCACAAACTTTTGCCCGCTTGTCATTCTCTTATTTCCTCGTGATTTTATGATTGCCTCATTCAGACCGGAATATTGTCACCAGCCCTAGGGTTCTTGCCCATGTTATTACTCCATCTTTTTGCTCTGCCCGCAGGCATCAGTTTCAAACTGGAAGAAAAAACCGCCCACAGCAGCCTAGCACTCTTCAGAGGTGACACAGGTGTCAAATACGGCTTGGTGGGATTGGAGCCCTCCAAGGCCCTGAATGTGGAGCGCTTCCGGGAGTGGGCAGTGGTGCTGGCAGACACAGCGGTCACCAGTGGCAGACACTACTGGGAGGTGACAGTGAAGCGCTCCCAGCAATTCCGGATAGGAGTGGCAGATGTGGACATGTCTCGGGATAGCTGCATTGGTGCTGATGATCGTTCCTGGGTGTTCACCTATGCCCAGCGCAAGTGGCACACCATGTTGGCCAAAGAGAAAGCCCCAATTGAGGGTATTGGGCAGCCAGAGAAGGTGGGGCTACTGCTGGAGTATGAGGCCCAGAAGCTGAGCCTGGTGGATGTAAACCAGGTCTCTGTGGTCCACACATTACAGACAGATTTCCGGGGTCCAGTGGTACCTGCCTTTGCTCTTTGGGATGGAGAGCTGCTGACCCACTCAGGGCTTGAGGTGCCTGAAGGTCTCTAGTATGTCCATTACTGGAGTCCTTAATCATGCTGTTTGGCGAGCCTCCTTTTGAAAGCATTTGAAGCTTTTTTACTTTGCCACAAGCAATCTCTAGCTCTCACAGTTCATTGTCCAGTTCTCTGTGCAACATCTTAGTCATCTTCCTCTTTCCCCTCCTGTGAAAGCTAGACGTAATTTCCTAGGCTCCCATGGACATATTTTCCCTGATCTGCTTCCTTCAGTGCCCTCGGCCTCCCTGTGTCCAGGCCTTTCTCAGACTGAGGTCTTCTCCTCTTTCAGCTTTGTTTGAATTTGTCACTGTGATCTCTCTCCTTTCCTTGGCTCACATGTAACTTGTTCTTGGGGCTCTACTCAATCTCTCCAAAGTAAATCCTTTCTACCTCTGGCTAGAGGAGTGGTGCAATCAAATTGCCTGGCCCTTTCTCTATAGCACATACAGTCTGGCCACTGGCTCCCTCGCTTAGTGGGTCAGAGTGAGGACAGAGCCCTCCTTTCCCAATTTTCAGTGCCATAGACACTCAGCCCCACACAGCTGCAGCTACTCTCACCCTGAGTCAGTCTACATTAATGTGTACAATTGTGACACCCAGCCAATCTGTCAGTCATTGTCCCAGTTATGACTGTATGCAAAGGAGAAGAGACACTTGGGGGATATCTAGGGGATTAATGGCTAGAAACTATTCTTGAGAAGTTTTATCTTCATTTCTGCCACAGTGGAAACTTCCTGAGGAAGTAGGAAGGATTGAGGTTTTGCACAATCCAATTTGGGGCCTGTTGAGACTCATACTTCCTCTCCCTTTGGCAGTAGAATATACTTAACCTAAAGCAGTATTTGGGGTTGAGAAAAACCTGGTGGGGTAAGTGTGTAAAATATGTATTGTTTGGGCTCTGTCTGACCTTGTGGTTCCATCTTATTCTACCTTCTGTGATGGTAATGAAGCTGGATATCCCTAGGGGAGAAAGAGAAGTAGTGGGTTTAACAAAAATAATTTGTGTAATTAAAGTTTATTTGAACACAAAATACTTTCTCTGTCTATACAATAGCAGTTGACAGTAGCAGCAGTATGTCCTGGCCAAGGGGAGCTTCTTTCTCCAAACTATATATAATATATATATATATTTATTTATTTTGAGACAGAGCCTCAAGCTGTTTGCCTGGGTAGAGTGCTGTGACATCACAGCTCACAGCAACCTCCAACTCCTGGGCTCAAGTGATTCTCCTGCCTCTACCTCCCTAGTAGCTGGGATTACAAGCGCCCGGCTATTTTTTGGTTGTAGCTGTCATTGTTCTTTGGCAGGCCCAGGCTGTATTTGAACCCTTAGCTGCTTGAGCCACAGGCACCGAGCCATCTCCAAACTATATATATATATATATATAT